TAATTAACACTGCCAAGCCAAAGTTCAAACACATGGACAATTTTAACAAGCATTGACGTAAGCTGAACCCAGCTGATGTTCTTATAAATGATGTAAAAATTAACTACTTTTATACGGAGTACATTAATGAGAAATTTAACAATTAACTACTTTTGTACTTTAATGAGAAATGTAACAATTAACTACTGTTATACTTTAATGAGAAATGTAACAAGTAACCAATGAACTAGTATTAATAAAAAATGTAACTGATAGGAAAAATGTATGAATGTGTATACTAATTAATGGGAGTGTGGATGTATAAGTAATAGGATGAATTTAACTAATATTAATTAAAGTGTAACTAATATACGAGTATAATACTCCGTATATTGTTTATACACTTTATAGTATATAATATATAAGTATACTACTATAAGATGAGTAGTACACTTATATTTAGGGAAAACTGTCAAATAGGTCCTCGAACTTTCATAAAAAGGTCAATTAAGTCCTTCTATATGAGGTTCTGTCCGGCCGTCGCGATTTGGGGCGGTTCCAGGTGGAATATTTTTATGAAATTTTTTGAGCATCTTATTCATCAGGTCTAGTTTACTCATTCCAAATGTGAGCTAAAAATTCAATCGGGAACACATTCAAATTAATTCGTGAAGATAACTGCGCATTTTTGCGTTCTCGAATTAATTTGAATACGTTCTCAATCGAATTTTTAGCTGAAATTTGGTATGAGTAAACTAGACTTGATGAATAAGATGCTCAAAAAATTTTATCAAAAAATTCCACCAGGAACCGCCTCAAATCGCAATGGCCGGACAGAATCTCCTATAGAAGGACTTAATTGACTTTTTTATGAAAGTTCGAGGACCTATTTGACAGTTTCCCCCTTATATTTAATACTTTAATATATATATATACACACTTAATATATTAATTAGATGTAATATAAGTAAATAAAAAGTATATAATAAGTAGATATTAACTATATATTAAGTAGATAATAAATGAGTAGATATAATATATGTATTTATAAATAGATAATAACTAAATAAGTAGATATAATAATTGTATAACTAATTGTATTTAGTGCCAAGCCAAAGTTCAAACACCTGGACTATTTTAATAAGCATTGACGTAAGCTGAACCCAACTGGTTTTCTTATAAATGATGTTTGTGTAGTATTATTAGATATGAAATTTACTCCCACGGTTTCTAAAGATGGGTTTACCCGTGATAGGGGGTAGCTTACTACTTTTCATGCTTATCTGCCAAATCGGTTGCGTCGGCCAATAATAGAAAGCAGTGCATACATTACCCGACCTATCTTTTCAACATAATGAGGTTCTTGTATAAGCTTGGGACTGATCCCCTGCTGAAATTGTCCCTCCTTGCTTGAACAAACATCCTGATGTGCATTATCTACTATTCTGTTCAGGTACCTATTGCAATTGGTGGGCCTGGTCTGAGCAAAGGAGTTAGATTCCGGCGAGATGTCCCAAGTGGCGGTCTTGCTAATGTTGCTGCAACTGTGATGAATCTGCATGGGTTTGAAGCACCTGACGACTACGAGTGCACCTTGATTGAGGTTGTTGACAATTAAAGAGGACTTTTTTTCTTGCATTGTGTATGTTGGTATTAAGAATTTTTGTGGTTTAAAAGTATTCAGGAGAAACATGCCAAACTTCATTCTTGAATCTTGGCTGGTATCCAGCGCATCATGTTTTTGGTTGTAGATCATGAATTTTGATACTAATAAGAGCAACGGCTCCACTTGGTTTAGTGAAAAGCTGCATTATGCATTATACGAAATTATTTTATGCTTCTCAGATCCATCCCCTTTTTCATTTGGTATGATGAAATCTTTTGAATGGGAATTTGCGAAATGGATTGTTGCTGCCTTTTGTTATGTATAATTTCTAGTACACCGAGAGATACACCCGGTTTAGACTTCGGATCCCAGGCAGTTCCTTGACATGGGGATGGGGTTCGTGGCAATTTTTTTTAATAAAAACAACATATGGGTAAGTGGTAATAAATTTCAGTTTGTTATGTACTTGTTTAAAACTTAACTTTTGAAGTTTAATATGATGATAAACTTGAGTGTATTTGCATTTCATATCATTTTGAACATTGAATGTCTTTCTATGACAAACTTAACGGTGATTTGTAGGACATTTTAAAAAAGTAACGGAAAAAAACAAGAACTGAATCTTTGAAGTTTGGTTCGATTCCATATCAGTTATATATATATATATATATATATATATATATATATATATACGGAGTAGTTTATAAGAATCGAACTGAACTGATATTAAGAGTACAAAATTTTTAAATGATTTCATTTGTTTTGTGTAAGATCCGAGCCAATTCTAAACATATTTGTGGTTGACATCGGTAATTTTCAATATTTTAAGTTTTATCCACTGGTCACATACTTTGAATATATAAGGGTTTCTCGGCCTGGTATCCTGCACCTCGCGTTCATGATATTTACTTACCAGGTTGTTTGAATCTGATTCTTAAAACTGTTTCTATTCGTTCAGGGAGTAGAATCAGAAGTTAGAGTGTTTGGGTGAAAGTGCAGAGTAATCTGGTGTTCTAATTTATTCCTAGAATCAGTTTTTTTAGAAGTAGGAGAAACCAGCTTCTAAAAACTGATTCTGAATTTGATTCTGCTTCTGCTTTAAAAAAGAAGCAGAATAAGTTCCAAACATCCCTAAATATTGCAAGCTAAATGAAAACTCTCGTATGAGTACGATTATTCTATGAAAAAAGATTGAGGTACACACTTTTTGTACACACAATTTGTACACTTGTCTGTCCCCCACAGACAAGTTGTCTGTCGCGAGATGAGTTGTCTGGAACACCATTAAAATTTAAAAAAAACATTATTAAAATCACACATAATACATTATTAATGACGTATTTGTGAAATAATGTGTGAAATGCCAAAATGCATCTTAAATGAGGGGCTAATGTATAAATATATGATAATTAGATAATTAAATATAATAATGGTAAAAAGTTAGTAAAAAGAATAAAAAGGGAATATTCCCTTTTAGTGATGAAAATGGTGTAAACTGTCGGAGATAAAATATTGTATGATGTGATGCTCTTAGCGAGGCACAAAATTGAGACTTCCATTTTAGTGCAAAAAATAGTGTAAACTGGTGGAGATGGCCTTAGTGAGACACAAAATTGAGACTCCCATTTCAAATTTTGAGCCGGTTCTGATCCACTTGCCAGTTCAATCCCGGACACATTTTTATTTTTTTAGATTTTAACCGTCTATTCATTCCACCTTCCTTTTCAGCTATAGCCTAATAGACTTTCACTCCTTTTATGTTGCTTCAGGATAGACAAAATGCAAAGGATAAAGAACTAGGAATGACACGGTACCAAAAATGAAACCTGGGTCGGTACCTATCCGGGGCCCAGGTCTAGCTATGGTCCTACAGTTAAAAAAACTCACGAGTCCCGGCACCTTGTCTAACCTACTCAAAGTCTCAAACCCAGGCTAGCCTACTGCGGTGCCGCCAACCCCTCCTTTCTTCATTGCAACATCCACATTAAGCTTAAGGATGTTTTCACTGTTTTCAATTCTAGACCAGATTTTCATAGTTATAAAATACACAAAGACAGACATTTACCAGACCAGACCAGTTCAAACTTCAAACCAACAAATTTCAGTAAAAAAAGAAAACATCCTAACAGGACACATCTCATGCCCAATCCACGTTGCGGCCTCCATACACAACTAAACTATAAAGTTGCAGACCACTCTATACAACATCAGAAAAGTGGATAACCATGAAGTTTCTGCCTCATTTAGGATGTTTTCTTTTGGACTGTTTTCAATCCCAGACCAGACCAGATCAGACCAAACTTCCATAGTCATAAAATACACAGACCAGACATTTATCAAACCAGACCAGACCAGTTCAGACCAGGCCAAATCAGCAAATTTCAGTCCAAAAGAAAACATCATTGAAATGTAGCCTACTGAAGTTCATCTCCCTCCCAGACCTTCGCAGTTCGACAGTTTTTTGGTAGAAGACTTGTAGGAATTGATCCTTTAAACCTCTCACAGACTTCCATAGTCATAAAATACACAGAGACCAAACATTTATCAAACCAGACTAAGCCAGTTCAGACCAGACCAGATCAGCAATTTCAGTCCAAAACAAAACATCCTTAAAATGTAGCCTACTAAAGTTCATCTCCCTCCCAAACCTTTGCAGTTCGACAGTTTTTTGGTAGAAGACTTGTAGGAATTGATCCTTTAAACCTCTCATGTCATGTATATAACTCACAATAACTCTGACATCTAATGAGGAAGTTTAGAATTAAATCAATAAAGATTTCTTCAACCCAAAGTCCAAACAGCAACAAGCTGATCGAAAAGTTAAAACAAAATAGAATTCCCTAAATAGAAACAAAAAAGTTTGGGAAAACTATCAAATAAGCCCCCGTACTATGCCGAAAAAGTCGATTAGGGCCTCGTACTTTACAAACACTCAATTAAGTTCTCGAACTATTAAAAAACGTTCAATTAAGCCCTTTTGATTGGTAAGTAATCGGTATCTCGGTTAAACAGCGATGACGGCGACGATGTGCTCGAACCCCAACAACAGCGACTGCCGGGAAACGGATTACATTTAATCAGAAAATCGGTTACTTACCGACCAAAAGGACTTAATTGAACGATTTTTTAATATTTCGAGGACTTAATTGAGTGTTTGTAAAGTACAAAGACCTAATCAACTTTTTTCGATAGAGTACGGGACTTATAGTTTTCCCAAAAAGTTTTGATATTATAAAATATAACTATTATGTTTTTTATTCTTTAAATAAAAATAATAAAAACATAAAAATCCTATTTCGAATTTCAAAACATTTTTACTCCTATTTAGGACATTTTCTATTAAAACAATTTCTATTTAAGAGTCTAAATATAAATCTTTTTTACTCGCAAATGATATGCCGATTAAAAAAAGCACGGGATCAAGTGATTTATTACAAATCAGTGCAAGACCATTTCAGATTACACATTTTACACCCCCATCCGAATAGGCAACCTCAACATTTCACAAGTCATTATTACGACAGTTATCTACTCAAAGTCTCAAATCTATTCAGAGGAAAGAAACGCCCATATTTGTAAATAACTATTTCCTGAAAGATGGTACCCGAGTACCCGACGAAACTACAAAATGCCATAGTTTTTAACAAATGTATATCAATATAAAAGGATAGCAGGACGGCATTCATACCAATCTTCTGAATACACATTAAAAAGCTCCAAAATTGTCAAAACAGACTAAAAACCACATTAAACATTAAATCAGCTCGTTCAGGAAAGAAATGCTTGCTTTTGAAATCAAATTTTAAGTTTCATTTCAGGCTCCGATTGGTTCTGCAGCTGGCTCAGTTGTCTCTTCTGCAGGCCTTTCCAACTTCATACCTACATCTTCAGTGTAGTCACCATGCACCTTTACACGCAAGGAATTAAGTAAATCAATATTCTATACTCCACACAAGAGTGTCTGGTGACAAACATGGATCCAACAAAAAAATTATAATACTAGAGAACAGATATTCAAGTAAAAACATTTACCTCCATCAACTTGCCAAGGTCAAACTTTGGAGCTTTTAAGACCTTGACCTTGCGAATGAAGACGTTTTGCAACGGGTAGATTCCTGTGGTTGCCTTCTCGATTTCCCTACCAATTGCCTCGGGAATGAACTTCTCAACCAAATCCTTGAGTGAGCATGATAGAGATTGGTTCACCATGATCTCTCGCATCTTGCGGCGAATCTGTTACAAAAATTAAATATAAAAACAGGTCATTCTTAAGAAAACAAGAATAATAAGGGGCAGAGATAACACAACCACAGCTAATGGATATATAATTCACCTGGCGAATTTGGCTGGACTGGGCATAGCATGTTCTCTTTTGTTGATTCGCACGCTTCTTAGTAAATCCAATGCAGAACATTCTGAGGGTATAGTTGTCAGTAGTTTTAACATCAACATGAGCTTCTATCAAAGACTGCCACTTCTTGACAAGTGACCTCAACTTGTCCGTAGTGAAGTCCATGCCCTGCAGTGAACGATAGGCCAATCAGAAATCATCATGGTAGTTCAGTACATTTTATTCAAACCACAAAATCTGGCATACCCAGAAATTTGTCAGGACGTTCCTTCCTTGAACATCCTCCGCCCGAAGGAGAATCTTCCTGAAGGCATTATCTTCATCATTCTGAAGATCAGCTAATGATACCTCAAACACACGATGCTTAAGACCTTCAGAAGCAATCTGAATAACAAAGATGGCACATCATTTTTAGTTTTATTCAGTAACTTCATTTAAAAGTTCCATACTCTTTAGCTAAAAAACCATAACCATTACATAACAGTATTGTTTAATCGACTGGTAAAGGACAATAGCTAATATCTATGACTGGATAACTATAAATCTATAATTCTATGTTCTATAAATATATATATAACAGAATTGTGGAACCCAAAAAAGGGAATTGTCAATGCAAGTTCTCTTAAATTGAGTAGTGTGCTAACTGAAAAATCCCTAGGGAACATAAAATGTCATTGTCTACTGATTGTTAATCCTTTTCAAAGTGGCCTTTCGAATCTCAACGTCATGAAAAGTCATTTTTTAAAGCCAACAAAATAGTTGGAAGCTGAAAAAAGCCAGTCATGTCCATCCCCCACATGTTCTCGATAATTAACAAAAAATGGTTGCACCAATCTTTCATTTCCCTACGCACTTTCAATTACCTACCATAGAAATATGGAATTATGATGACTTATATGTAAAATGGAGCATATATTAATTGTGAAACCTTGCTGAATGAGAGGCTGGAAAATGTATATTAATACTGACACCAGGCTTTTAGAATATCGCCTTCTATTTGGATTGGACTCTTAAAATATCAATCTGATTTAGATATAAAAATACTGGTTCAAATCTAAGAAAATTACTTTTGTTGGGTGTGATTTGTAAGTTCAAATCTCATGTACAAAAGGAGGTTGATTTAAAGCAAGTTTAATCTTTTGAGGAAGTAAAGAACACTCTGCCAATGTTATTGAGTGTGATTTGTAACCTAGCACCGAGAGATTGTAGCGATGGTAAGGCTTTATACAGAGAATGTAAAAGGGAATAATAACAATTAAATGCAACAAATTGATACTATATCAAAAAGAAAAATCATAGTACCTTTGTACCCTGAGTACGGGTAACGAGGGTCTTCCCAACGGTCCTTTTGGAGAAGACTGAAGGAGCCTTGATATCATACCAGTCTTTCTTAGCGAACGGGTCAGTGCTGTAATCCAACACAATGACAGATAGATAAATACTAATACGACGGAATCATGACCAAGCAATCCAACATGTCATTGTAATTGTAATCTTTCACAAAATTTTAAGCGCAGATAGAAAAGATAAGTATGAGGACATCGAGACTGATTCACTTACGCCTTCTTCTTCCCTCCCTTTTTCCCCTTGGAGATCCTCTTGTTCTTTCTGTAACAAAATAAATCAGAAATTGATGATGATTAAACCCGTTGATAGAGAAAACTTGTATGAGAATGGAGGTATACGAAGAATATGCTGTACCCGACGGCCATTATCGGTGACTGCTCGGAGGAGATGGGCGACTGCAAGGAGAAGATTGGCCACCGAAAATCTGAATGAGAAAGCGAGATGTAAATTGCTATATATAGTCTCGGGTGCGGCAAAACCCTAGCAGGCCAACCTAGCTCGGACTTGCACTTCATAAACCCTATAACTTAATGGATTTTATTTACAATAGTTATTTGAACAGCCCAAACCTAATTAATTATTTGATCAGCCCAAACCTAAATACTCGGCTGCATTGAGAAGAATATTTGAGTATGAAAAGAAAAAAATAATGCTCCATAGAAAAGGATACAAATATTAACATTAGTTTTGTGAATTACTAAAAAAGGGATTACCGTTCATTTCCCCAAAAATTATGACTATTTTTTTGTTTAATTAATCTACTTTTTTATTGTAATATTTCCAAATTCTGCCCCAACCCCCTATCACGTGCGGACAGCGGACGCCATTTGTTCTAAGGTTTAGACGAACATCCAATACTATGAAAATAAAATGTAAAAAATATGTTGGAAAATGTGTGTTAAAATTGCATTAAATGGTCATTTTGGGGCAATTTGTTGAGTGGGGTCCACTTCCAATTTGGGTCGGGTCAAAGTGGTTTCGGATTGTCCTTGCTTGGGGCTACAATTCGATATATGGTACGCTCAAAATAGATAACGGGTGAATGAGAAATCGCTTTTCGAAGTTTACCCGTTGGAATGGAGAAAACTAGGAAAATGTGGGTTTTTAGTGTGGGTTTTTCCCACACCGAAAATCACAAGGGAATTTGAACCCTTTATAAAGGGAAACCCCCCCTAAGGAGTTAAGCTTCCTAAAGGGAAAGGCTCTCTCACGCGCGCAGGGGGGGTGCGAATCAAATCCCGAAACCGAAGAACAAAAAGCGCGACTTGCGTGCGCGGGCGACCTGCGGACACGAATGCTGTCCGAAAAAGCGCGACTTAATGCACACGGTTTTGGTTGGAATCAATGTCCCAAACGTTGGACATTGATGTCCTACGTTCCATTTTTTTCTCCTGCTCGCCCAACGTCCATATATGCCATAATGTCCAACGTTCATGGACTTAATGCACACGGTTTTGGCTGGAATCAATGTCCCAAACGTTGGGCATTGATGTCCAACGTTCCTATGCCTTAAACAGGCCATTAACACACCATAATCCACCCTTATAAAAGGCTAGTAGGTGCTTTGCTAACCACACACGTTCATACACTTCGTACACACACTTTCAGAGCTATAAACCACCTCTAGCATTCCATAAAAACTCTTCCGTGTTCTGAGCTTTGTTCTCGTTCGTTGGGACCATAGTTTGAGTGCTAAACTATTGTTCGTAGTCATCGTATCCTGGGAAACGATTCTTGCAACGCTCCTAGCACCCCGGGAGGCAACGAATACGTTTTAAGGAAAATCGTGCGTAGCACGAGCTTTGGCTTATTCTGCTTCATCTCATTTCTTGTTTTCTTTAAGTCGTTTTATTTAATTAATTTTTATTAATTAATTTTCTTTGTTTTTCAAAACACACCCAACATATACTCCGTGTATAACTGATGTAATAATTTTATATTGTATATTTTATATAACATTGTTTACCCTTAACCCTTTTTGCTAGTATTTTTTTATGAAAAAAACATTTCTTTAGTTGTGGGATCTAATAATAATATTATGCAATATTTGAACCATGTGTTTTTTTTTTGAACACCCAACTTTTGGTTCAAGATCCGTCAGTGCCCTCAACCTCCATAATGACATACGTAAGTGACATGAAAATATAACATTGACGTCTATTAGTGATATGAAAATCTGACACTGACATCATATTTTTCTAAATATATGACCTTGTTATTCACATTTTACTATATATAAAATAGTCAATTTTTAAAAAAAAAATTGACTTCAATTTCATCATATTTAAGAAAAAACTCCAAAACTAATTGAGAGGATAAAGTATTATTGCAACGAGATTATCTGCTTTAGTAGTAGAGTGTTCTTAGCTTAAATTAGATTTACTTAAATTATTATTAAATCCATTTTTAAAAGGAATTACTATTAAATCCAATTATTAAAATTGACATTTTTAGATTTTACTATGAAGTCTTTACTGATTATCTACTTTACTTAAATGCGAATGAATATAATGCTATGTTATTAATTATAGGGAAGTCAAATTAGACATAATTACCGATTTCAAAAATCATTATTCTATCTGATTAACAAGACTACCATTATCGGGATTAAGCATTACATCAACAAGTAAAACTCTAATCAATTAATCAATGATTTACGAAACACATTTCTAAATATTTTGGAGTATAAAAATTACAAAGTTCATTATTGAATTAGAAAATCTATTGTTCGTACATATATGACTCTTTGATCATCCATGTCCTAATCTTATCAAATTATATTGCACCTATCTCTTAATATACATTTTTCTCTTCAAATAATTTCTATTGTAATTTTTAGACCACATTAAAGTTGACGTGAATTAGAGAAACCGGAACTAAAAAGCTTCTTCCTGGTTTAGATGAGAGTATGACTTTGAAGAGGACGAATATTCGTGTGGAAAATCTTTTTTCTCATTTCTCCATCCGTCTCTATTTCTATTATATTTATTTATATCTTTCTTATCTCGTATGTTATTTTTATCTTATATCTTTCTTATATTCTTTTATTTTAAATTTATTTTATCTTATTTTTTATTTTACATTGTGCTTTTATTTTTCTCGTCTTTCTTTTTTTGCTCGGATGTCATGGATCGATTCATTTTAGCCGACCCAATTTTTTTGGGAATAAGACTAGGAATCTAGGATGTTGTTGTAATAAAACAATCCCTAATTTAATGATCAATGATAGATCCACTTTAGCATTTCTTCTTCGTAGATATGTTCAACAATTCATCCATCATCCTTACAAGACTTCATAGTTTGATCATTCGTCCCAATGTTAGAATACTTATGTCAATTCAATGTGTAGACATTGCTAACTAATTTTATAATCGATTACTCCCTCCGATCCACCCGCTATCAAGCAATTTTTCATTTTCAATCCATCCCAATGAGTCATTGCTAATTTGATAAAGTTTTTGTGATTCTAAATTATTTTTATTTTATCAATTCAATATTAACCACATAAACCAATTTTTCTTAATAGCTGCATGGTTTCCTCATTTTATTTATGTGGAACTTTTTAACCGGAAAAAACTTCATCATATTTTGTTTTATTTTAAATATTATATCAAGAGACATCATAGGGATCTTTGAGTTGGAATATTGTAGCAAAACCGATTGGAAAATGATTAAAGTGGAACTAATAATTCCATTAATTGATGTGTGGGAAACAAAACTGGTGTTTATTAAATTGTGTTTTTTACTACACAAAGTGATACTCCCTCCGTAACTTTAAAATCTTCCCATTTCAAAAGTATGTAGATTAAGAATAGTGAAAGATGATATGAATTATTGAGGGTATGATGGGAAAATAGTGGAATAATGTGGTGGAATGTAGGATAAATCCAAAAAAATAGTTGTAATAGTGTATTATTTTAAGAATTATTTAAAAGGGATTGATATTTCACACTGAATCCGTATACATGTTGGTGTATTTATACACACAGATTACAAATGATAAGTATTATCTGACTAACTACTTCCGTATGAGTCTGGCTAAGGATGTGAACTATCTCCTACTATGTAGGATAGATAAATATGTTACAAAGTAGTACTAGTACGTACAATAAATGTAACATATAAAATGTACATAATTAATTAGGTTGTAATACGCCCCCGCAAGATGGGACTTCCATCCGAGACACCCATCTTGGATCGAAATTGTTCAAACAGAGTGCGTCCGAGAGGTTTAGTGAGAATATCAGCAATCTGCAACTTGGTGGAGATATGATGAACTTTGAGCTGACCTTGTTCTACCAAATCCCGGACAAAGTAGAAATCTAATGCAAGATGCTTCATACGAGAGTGAAATACCGGGTTCACGCATACATAGGTAGCTCCTTGATTATCACAATATAACGTAGGAGTGGTCGGGATTTTGACATGAAGTTCACGTAGGAGATTAGTGACCCATAGTAATTCAGCACTAGCATTGGCAACGGCTCTATATTCTGCTTCGGTGGAGGATCGGGACACACATTTCTGCTTGGCCGATTTCCATGAAATTATATTAGGTCCTAGGTAAAGGGCATAACCTGTTGTTGACCGTCCTTGATCATGTATATTTCCCCAATCAGAGTCAGAAAACACAGTAAGGTGTAGAGGTTTGCTTCTATGAAGAAAGAGACCAAAATTAACTGTGTGCTTCAAATAACGCAAAATTCGTTTAACCGCTTGCCAGTGGCGGTCAGTGGGCTGGTGCATGAACTGAGACAGGCGATTGACAGAGAAAGATATATCCGGTCGGGTGAACGAAAGGTACTGAAGCAACCCAAGAGCTTTCCGGTACTGTTGCGGATCATGCATAGAAACCCCATCTGTCAAGGTAACGGGCTGGGACGAACTCATTGGTGTAGTGGAGTCTTTTGCACCAAGCATAGCACATGTTTCAAGTGTGTTAATAATATACTGCCGCTGAGATAAAAACATGCCATTTGAAGTAGGTATTACTTCAATACCAAGAAAATGATGGAGAGATCCCAAGTCCTTGACTGAAAACCGAGTGGTTAACTGAGTGACAAATTTCTGTACCTCAGTGGAAGAATTTCCTGTGAGAACAATGTCATCTACGTACACAAGAAAATACATGACAATCTGTCCATGATAATAAATAAACAGTGAGTTATCCGCATGAGATTTTTTAAAACCAACAGAGATAAGAAACCGAGACAACTCCATATACCAAGCTCGGGGAGCTTGTTTTAAACCATATAGCGCCTTGCGGAGTCTGCAGATGTGAGTGGGGTGACTGGAATCAATATAACCAGAAGGTTGCGCCATATATACTTCTTCATGGAGTGTACCATGAAGGAAGGCGTTGTTGACGTCCAATTGCCGGAGCTCCCAGTTATAGGATAGTGCAAGAGTGAGTATAATTCGGACAGTAGCCGGTTTTGTAACCGGACTAAATGTTTCACTGTAATCACGGCCGGGTTCTTGAAGGTAGCCGCGAGCAACTAACCGGGCTTTAAATCGGGCCACACTTCCATCAGGGTGGCGT